ACAGTAATGTGTCTGTTATACACAGATGTCCGTTATATAAGGTACATGTAACTGTTACAGTAATGTGTCTGTTAAAAACTGTGTCCGATAAATAATGTACATGTAACTGTTATAGTAATGTGTCTGTTAAAAACTGTGTCCGATATATAATGTACATGTAACCTTTATAGTAATGTGTCTGTTTTAGACAGGTCTCCGTTATATAATGTACATGTAACTGTTACAGTAATGTGTCTGTTAAAAACTGTGTCCGTTATATAATGTACATGTAACCTTCATAATAATGTGTCTGTTATAGACAGGTCTCCGTTATATAATGTACATGTAACCTTTATAGTAATGTGTCTGTTAAAAACTGTGTCCGTTATATAATGTACATGTAACCTTCATAATAATGTGTCTGTTATATACATGTGTCCGTTATATATATGTAACCGTTATAACGTCAAACTTCGTTAAAACTATATCATTTATGCATTCACGTAGAGATGGTGCGTTGAAAGCGATTGATACATTAAGAATATATTCTGATAGTTTATATCCATTGTCTTATCATTTCAGGGGGATTTAGACGACATGATCCGCGTTTGGAATGCACACAATATTCGTCCAACAAAGAACCAGAACAGTCCTCATGGTCGTCCCATCGTCATGTACATGCTACCTTCCTCTTACGACACTCGCAGTCCATCGTCATGTACATGCTACCTTCCTCTTACGACACTCGCAGTTACCTGCATGACATAGAAGAACATGTAATTGAAACATGCAAAGAGGAGTGTGTTTTCCGAGAAGAACGGGCCTGTGACGAAGACATCCACGAACTCTCCCTCATATATATGGATGAGAATAACTGGGATAAACCAACAACAATTGACGAAGCCATTCTTCTTTATTGAAGATTAAGGAATGCTCTCCGACTTGCGCTGTAGAACACTGAATACATTGCGAAGTACACAATCAAGTGACCAATGACAATTGAATTTTGTACGTAGTCCGTCCATACAATTTTGATATAGGTTAATTTGACTGAAAATTCAACAATTATCTTCTTGAAACCGTGACATGCTAGAATCTAAACCTCTTTATGGATGGGAATGCCTTCTTTAAGGTTCTTTGTAATATCCAGGGATGGTAAGTTCCTAGGTTGCTTCGTCGTCCGTTCACCTTCACGGATGGGGTCAAGTTTATTGTAGTTTATACAGGGAATAGCATTTTGGTTATATTTTGTTAAAAGAGCTATGGCGGGTTGCTATGCCTATTTCCCCCAAGCTGAGACCGCTGTGCCACCGTGTACTGTTATGACGCGTCGACGTCCTCAGGTATTTTTTATACAGGTAGCTCTATCGGAATCATGCAGTGTCTAAGCATAGATTAATGTAAACAGACGATTTCAAGGCTACGGCTATCGATACATGCGTTTCACGATACAGACTCAACAAAATGCTTATTTCACGTTATTTCTATGAATTTAAAACAAACGTACAATCATTACCAACAAGTTTTAAGTTTTGAAAGGATTCATGCCGTTACCTGCTTTCTTACAAAACACACATATTGATTCAATAGCATGTCTTACACGTGTATTGCCATCCTTACTTTATGCTGCCGTCTTCCTGCATTTTAAACAAATGTGACTTTCCTCAACGTTGAATTTCTCCGTTTTTATGGTAATATATTTGTGATTTACAACACTTTATATTTCTGGCTTGACATTTTATTATTCTGACGCATCAATCCCACATTTTTTTGGTATTTCATCATCATTTGTTTGTGTTTACATAATAGATAAAATTACTAGGGCCAATTGGAGGATAAAACAATTCATAAATATTTGTTATCTACTAAGCGTAGCTGTACTGTACGTGTACAGTGATTTCTTGACATGATTCCATAGAAGCTAAATCAATAGGTATGTTAAAAAATATATAAATAAAATGTACCATTGATTTGAAAAATATTTCATTACTTAATTAATTAAGGAAAAAGATCACCTGCCCAAATATTTACAAAAAACAAAAACAAAAAAACCCTGAACGTGGGTTCGAACTTGCACCGTTCTCTTCGTCTAGTCTGGTCACAAGTTAACTGTGTTACACATTCGGCTACATCAGACATAGATGAAGATGGGAATACAAACTGTTTTAACCAAAGAAACAGCTGTCGCAGTTTCATTATTTTGGAGCCATTTCCCAAAGGAGGACCACTTTTCCGGAATACGATTTGTTTTTGTATATTACAACACGGAATAAAAAAGCTTATTCAAAAGTTGGTCCTCGGATGGGAAAGTGTTGAAAGAATTTTTTGAAGTCTGGGAAACCCCATCACTTTCATAGATAAAGTGAATATGGCTATATTTGCAGTTTCGTATTAACAATACCTAATATATCAGCAGTTCAAAAATTCATGTCAATTTGTTTTATATCTATCCTATGCATTTTCGCTGCTAGAAAGTATTTACTCGTTAATATTTGTTTCCGTTTTCATAAATGCCAACTTAGGGAAATATGAGCAGTTTTCCGCCATAGCTCTTTCTGTAGGAAATAAATCAATCTTTGTTGGAATTATTATTATGGAATGGGGGTTGTGTATAAGTTAATACCCTTACCTACACATAGGGCTTGTTGGCTTTGGTTTAGATTTCAATTTCAAATCCAGGTGACCGTTAAGGCCCATGGGTCTCTTGGTATGCATGTAACATGCATTTTTCTTGTGATTTAAATGAGCATAGGTCTGGTTTGCAGCATATATATCTATCATAACATAAACTATACATTGGCTAAACATCAAAACGATGGACAAAGGTCGTGTCCATGATCTACATATGTACTCATGGGAATTCACCTGTTTTATAATTACTGTGTTCATTGATATTGCTTCTCCTGCAAGAAGCCAACTAACATATGTTACCCAAGGTTGATTGTAAATTTCATTACTACAACCTTCATACTGGTTCAAGGTCAAATATATGTCATTAAAGTAGAAAAGAAACAGCTTCCAAACGCTAGTTGTTATTCTTTTATCAAAACATTATACACTCATTTCTCTTACCAATAATAAACAGGATTTCATAATGCTGCTACCTACATTTAACTAGAAATTTGTTTTGTGAACACGATCATATGTCTCCTCTTCTCCCCTACAGAAATACATGTACATGCGTGTCTGTAAACCACTGGAAAAATTCGCCACAGCACCACGACATAAGTATAAGCTGATCACTTTGGGCAGGTGAGCTAATAATTATAGAATTCAAATTTTGCTCGCCACAAATATTTTTTAGACTGAAGCATTGACCTACACATGTGTTTTTCCGTGGCCCCACAATACCAAATGTAGTTGTTCTCGAGTGATAATTCATTATTGAAAAAAACTCAAAAACTTGTTTTATATCTGAAAAAAAACATTTTAATGGAACAAGTGAAAACATAGATTGATTGCTTGGAATAGTTTTTATACCTGAGAACAAAGTCAAATTTTCACAAAATCTTCAAAGAGTAGTTCCTTTTGTTTTGTAATGTCATGAGATCAAAGTATGATCTCTCTTTTATTTGAATAACCTGATAGCCATACAATCACACCCCAGCATGCTGCAGGCAAAATATCATAATTAGCACCATGGTTATGCAGAAGTACATGTAGTTGTTTCACACTTCAAACAACTCAAGATATATTCATTTATATATGCCGTGCTCTTAAATATTTGTTATTAAAAACAAATTTCCATGTGCTGAAATACTTAGTGTGTAGTGTATGATGAAAAAAGTATAGTATGAACTTAATTATATGGTACCTGGTATCACCGCGACCTATATATCTTCAATCTCTAATTTAGAAGGATGATTATATGTGATATAAACACAGGCCCAAATCGGTAAAACAAAATTTGAAATAAGATTATTTGTGTGTGTAACACATTTGTCCCCATTCTGTGTTGAAAAATCATGCACACACGTATGGCCAGTTGATGTAATCCGCACATGACCTCAAAACATATCACGATCTAAAACATTTCAAGCTAGGTCTTGTATTCATATATGTTGAGAAATCTTGTATGGCAATTAATCTTTATCAGATGTGACCCTGTGAACTATATAATCAGGTATACAATAAAAGTCACGTATATTCATATTAAGTACAATGTTATTGTACATATTTTGAAAACTAAAATTTTCGGGCCATCTGAACAGTAGTAGATACATTGACAAAAAAAAACCAGAAGAGAAAGAAACGTAAAGAGAAATTATTGAGAAAAACAGATGTTTTTGTTTTCTCTAGTCTGTATATCCTCACATCTTTGTTAAGGTTGGAAAAGAAAAACATCAATATCCAATTGCACAAAACATGTATTTATATGTAATGAGAAATCCCAGTGGGATCTTGGCGTCCACCATTGAAAGTTCTATATGCGACTGATCTTTTTTTTCTACTTTTTCCTTATTTTCCCTTTTCTTCTTAGTATAGATATATACACTTGTATTTGATAACAAGGGGAAACCATGCATATATCTAAGAAAGATCTAAGAAGAACTTTCTGCGAAATAGAAAGAAAGAATTTCTACTGTTAAAATCCAAGATGGCTGCATGATGCATTGGCCATTGTTTGCTTTCCCAATCAGTCTCAAAATTTAATGTGCACAACCAGGGACAAAGGGGAACCTTCATATAAAGTTTGAGAAATACATATCCTTAAAGTACTTCTCAAGAAATAGTGATAACAAACTTCAACTGTCAAAATCTAAGATGGTCGCCTGATGCCTGTCAGCAAGTTTGATTTCCCAATCAGACTCAAAGTCGAATGAGCATAACTAAGGACCAAGGCAAACCTACAATAGTGATAACAAGGATTGTTTACGGACGGACGATGGATGAAGGGCGATTTGAATAGCCCACCATCTGATGATGTTGGGCTAATAAAGGACCATGCTCAATAATGCAACAGGTGATTCCTGTCACCACAATACGGTCCATGATTTCAAATATGGGCATATGATAAGGCATTTAGTGAATCAATAAAACAGATGACAGGCCTTTTTTTCAAAATATCTTATCAACACAGAATACTTCTAAGCTGTCACACTATTTTACACTTTAAAGTCACACGATGTCCATTACCCACACATTTCCACTCAAGACATTGTCAAATTCTGTTCGGAAATCCATGAAGCTTTCGTATGTTTTGGACAACTGTAGCATGCATGCACATGTGTGAGCAACTGGACGTCGTTGCAGGCCTTGCAAAGACGGTGAATTCAACAGTTATTTTGTCGATAGTTAGCAAGTCAGATCCAGTACAATACCTCATAAAAAGACCAAGTTTTTGCTTGTCCAAGCTCTTTACGTACCTCTTCAGGTGCATAGCAACTGTGGTTGAGTGGGCATCCATGTCATCCGGAAAAGAGAGTATCCCGACTACTTTCTTGTTGGAAAGGTTTAAAGCACTGTATATCTCATCAAGTATTGAAGTTGTAATGTCCATCTCATTAAAAACTTGTTTCCAACAGTTGCAAACAAACATTGGAGTTTGAATGATCTCTTTGTGAGCCATTTCCAGCAAAATAGATTTGATGTTTTCCTGTGTAGGTGAACACTTTCCATTATGCATGTCCAGTGCCTCCAATAGGTCTTCCATGTCCACAGAGTCAAAATCCTCTACAGCCTTCTGAAATACTTCCTTGTCTGGGATTGATACATAGTTGTGAAAGTCCTGCAGGAGGTCTGAGGGAAGGACATCCTCTTTTGAATCA